GTGGCTGCAGTGTCTCCCTCCTCAGCCTTCTGCTTCCCAGAATTCTCCTCTCTCCTTGTCCCACCTACTTCCTGCCTGGCAACCTACTTCCTGCCTGGTCACTGGCCATCAGTGTTTTATTCATATAGAGCAATATCCACAGCACCCCCCTGAATGAACTGATGTTTTGTCACAGGAGTAGACTCTTTATAACCTTCTCCTCACAGTCTCTCATGTCCTTCTGCCACATCACCTTGTATTATGTTGTTAAACAACAACAAAAACACTTTATCAGATTTTCTAGCCTCCAAATCAGTGAGCCTATAAATTTCTGTTTATTACTAATTGCATAGTCTATGGTATTGTGTTACAAAGCACAAAAGAGACAAAGACAAGGTTTTTCAAATCTAACAAAAAAGTGTTTTTTATTTCCTTACCTTTATATAATTCGTTGTTGCCTCATTTTACAAAGATATTGGTCTGCAAAGCATTCAAAACCTGAAAGCTAGTCCTATACCACACATCTTGGAAACATAAAGTGTTATACAGATACATTTCAAATTCAACTGACAAATAATAAATTTTAAAAATGGCACCAACAACCTCTTTAAATTGCCTTTTTTCATCCCTTCATCTCTCTCCTTATCTGTCTGTCTTGCTCTTCCTCCCTCCTCCTCTTCTTCTACCTCTTCTTGCCCTTATACATATATTTCTAATCTTGTAGACATGCAGTATTTGAAATGTAGCTAGTCCAAGCTGAAATAGTTTTATTTTGCAGGTTTAAAAGTATACAACTACTTTGATTTTAAAGATGTAAATGTGAGAACAAAAGTATTCCAGATATGCTGGATTACTTAAAATACATGATTAACTTCATTTATTTGTCTTTAATACTTAATGTAGTATTAAGGTCAACAATGCTATAGCTCCATTCAGTTTTACACTATTCTTCAAATTCCCAATATTTCAGGACTTAGGGTCAATACTTAAATTCATTCTCTTATATTGCAACTTTCTTCTCCTCACCTTACTTCCATTCTCCTGCAAAATACCTCCACTCACTCTTCAGTGAGAATGTTTTAAAAATAACATGGAGCCCTATCCAACCAAACCCCCAAGCTGTTTACATCATCTGTGCTTCCATCATAACTGATGTTGGCTTCTATGTTTGTGTATAAATTTGTCTCTCCACCCTCAAAACAAAGTAGGATAAATGGTAGCACTACACCTTCAATTGCTAGATCCTATGTAATCACTCTGTACCTTTTCGTATCTCTCTAGGTATTAGCTTCCTTAGAGTATGAGAGTGGCCTTCCCTCCTTCACAAACAAGCTCTAGAAATAAAAACTTGCTATAATACTTAAGAATTGTGAAAAGTATGGCAACTCTGCATTGTGGCTGCTTTTCTTTCTTATAATTGTTTATATGCATGTTTTTTTGTTTGTTTCCATAATCACAATACCTATGCACACCTTTAAAGGTTAAATTTTGTTAAACAATAAAAATAATGAAAATATTTCACCAGACTATATTTTTCAGATAGGGTTCACTAATTCTCTGGCTGCAGTCCTGGATTATTATGGAGAAGGAGGTTTAGCAGCAGCGGCATGCCTCACTCTGTGTCTGATTGTGACTGTGGCATGACCAGCTACTTCAAACTCCTGAGACTTTGGCTTTTCTGCCATAATGGATTTAACCTCAAACAATCAAAACAAATCCTTTCTATTAAGCTTCTTTGCCAGAGTTTTCACTGGCAAATAGAGGAGAAATGGCAATAGAGGAGAAAATAATATTCTTATCAAATCTTTTTGTTGTTGTTGTTAGGGTCCCATTTGGCCCCTCACCAAATCTTTTACTATTAGCACTGTACCACAGAACAACTCTAAAAGATCAGGGCTAATCTTAGAAAAATCAAAATGCACAACTTTATCCTATGAATGGTAAATATATGTCATTTGGGTGCCAAGAAAAGAGAGACTTAGATCAAGACATGAGTGGCACAACATTGAAGCCCGCTCTTCTAACGGCCCACAGAGCATGGGTACTCAAGTTGCAAAGGCTCACAATAGGCTCTGCAGACATGAAGGACTGCACATCCATCTCTTCTCAGTACAATGACCCTGGGCAGGGGCAGAAGGATTGGTGAAATCAAGCAAGCTGCAGTGGTATTTCTTTGGAATCCACAAAGGGAAAAAAAATTCTATGTTAAGAACAAAGACAAATACTATTTCTTGACTGAAACATTTTATTTTCTCTTTATTCAACTGGAAATGGACTTTTCTTTCATTTTAGGTCCTAACTTTTTTGTCAATTCATTTGACAAAAGTTTATTGAGCCATTTTAAGCTAGAGACTAAATATATGAGATAGTACCAAAGAACTGCCAAGCATCAGAAGAGACAGAAAGGAAAAGCCCTGCAACTGAGGTAGTCACAAAGTCTAGGTCAAAGAGGGCAGTTGGGCCTATGGCATACAGTGCTTAAACTGGGATACAAGGGAAGCAGGAGCTTCTTGATGGGCACCTGGAGAAGGTGGAACTGACATTCAATAGGAAACGAACATGCAAAGGGAGGGAAGCTTAACAAAATGTAGCCAGACACAACAAAGAAAGTGGTAAGTAGGTGGGTAAATGGGAAAAAACATGGAAGACACAGCAGCAACAGGAAGAAGTATCCCCAGGAAAAAAGGGATGACACAGCAGAAGAAGAAAGAAGTATCCCCAGGAAAACAGGGATGACACAGCAGAAGCAGAAAGAAGTATCCCCAGGAAAACAGGGATGACACAGCAGAAGCAGGATGGAAGTATCCCCAGGAAAACATGGAAGACACAGCAGAAGCAAGGCAAAAGTATCCCCCAAGGAAACATCACTGTGTGAAGCTACAAACAGATGTAGCTAAGTATCTTGGAGGCCCTGACAACAGCTTGTGGGCAACAAATGCTGACTCTTCATCCACCACCGTGAAGCCAGGGAAAGATCTCCAGCACACCTGTCCTGAGTACAGAGAATGCACACAGGACCATGTCAGGACATGAAGCCAGGGAGAGATCTCTAGCACACATGTCCTGAG